TGTGTGTGTGTGTGTGTGTGTGTGTGTGCGTCCACTCACCTTGATAGTCTGGTATGAGCCACTGTACAAGTGGTTCTGGGAAGCCACCAGTGCTCTCACCCAGTGATTCAGACCGGTTAGTTCCTTCTTCAGTTTCAGCTCTGTACCCACGATGTCCCACACCTGTGCACAAAATAAGGTTCAATGACACTGAAACACCTGGAAAAACTAAAACACTATGTTCAAAAGGGCAAAGAAGTGTTTGTGACGTTGACCAACAAATTCTCATCAGTTCATCTTGAGTAGAAGTAAATGTTTTGCTTTGTGAAACCTTTTAAACACACTTGACATATTAAGTGTGTTGCAGTAAGTCACCAAAAAAAACTCAAATGTCAACTGAAATAAGAAGCTACTTTTCAACAATTGCACAATCCTGGAAGCACACACTAATGGACACACACTGCACAGAGCTGAGCTGGAGCGGATACACAGCAAGAGTTCATAATGTCACTGAGCAGATGGTACAGAGGCGTTGAGGTGAGCAAGAATGGAAAACCCCTGTGTAAGAGCACTGACATCACACAGAGCATCACAGTCGTCCCCTTCCTTTCACCCGCTCGCATGTACGCATGGTAACAAAGAAGAGGCTTAGTTTCCACACTTGGTTTTAATGTGCACACTCCTTTTAATAATCTGTGTCTTTGTGATAGTTGGAGCACAATAAACCCTGACGGGCGAAGAATAAACTGGTGGTTTTGCAAAAAGCTTTAAAAATGATGAGACAACACAACATGGCGAGGCATCATGTAAATAACTGCACCTTAATGGCCTTGAGGGAGCCGCTGAACAACATGTTGTGGGAGGAGACAAGTGTACACACTGGGTTGTCATGGGCACGGATAGTATTGACTTTCTGCAGGGTCTGGATGTCCCACACCTACGAGAGATGCGCAACGGTGAGACGAGAAAAGACTAAACAATTCAAAACATCTCAAAGAAGAGAGAAGTCGAGAGACGACGGTCACTTACGATGATGGTGCAGTCTGCAGAGCCACTGTACAGCCTGTTTCTATGGTGAGACAAAAAAAACAGCAGAGTCGTGCTTGAAAGAGAGCCTCGTTATTCTCCGTCGATATAAATTATATAATCAAAGTTTGAGGGGGTCTTTAGTGCATGTGTGTATTTACCCCTGGATACACAGAGCCAAAACGATGCCATCGTGACCCTCGAGGGTTTTCTGACACTTGTAGGTGGTGCAGGTGTCCCATACCTGAGGTGACGGAGGAGATTCAGGGTTAAAAAGCTGTTTGTGTGTCTGTTCGTGTCTTTAAGGCTTTTTTTTTTTTTTGTCTCCATGCGACAACTAACTCTTGAGTAAGTAAAGATAGAACAAGTTTATTTCTAATTCAGGGTTATGAGCAGTTATCAGTATATCTCTGGATGTGGGAGGTGTAAATGTGTTCAGGCTGAAAATAGCACTGCTTCAAAGAACAAACACACACACACACACACACACACACACACACACACTAACACATTTTCTGTTCAAAATGTGTCTTTAAATTAAAATGATCTCACTCCTGAGGAGCGTTTGGCTCTATATCAGTTTTAATCTCTGTCCGTACTAACACTGAACATGCAAATCACATGACCACTCACTGGATGTTCATGAAAAAATCGCCTTTGAGTGTGTGTGTGTGTGTGTGTGTGTGTGTGTGTCACCTTGATAGTCTTATCTGAGGATCCAGAAAAGAGCAAGTCTCCAGTGGAGTAAACACAAAGGCACCACACGGGACCCTGGTGGCCGACAAACGTCCCCTTGCACTTGAAGATCTGCTGGGGGTCATATGCTACACAGGGGCACAGAGATGGGAAAGATTGCTTTTGGATTTTTCAGTGGAAACTACACAATAGTGAAGTATAGAGAATGGGGAGGGTGAGGAATAAGGAGGAGGATATATGCAGAGGTTGGATAAAGAAGAGGAGTGGGAGTGAGGGAACAGACGGAAGGACAAAGAAACAGCCGGGGGAGACAGTCAGAGTCAAAACAGCAAAACTACTATGTTGAAATCAAGTTTAGTCAAGGTCGACTTCTTGGAAACAATTACCAAATGTCTTTCCCCACTGAGAGAGGTGAAGAGTTAAGCAGGACAGACGGGCAGATACTTACAGCCCAGGATTCCCATATTGAGCCTGGCATTTATGTGGGACAACTCATCCTGCAAAGACACAGAAAAATAAACTGACAAATGTTCTAACTACTGGTTTCCTAATTCAACTTTTACTGTCACATACGCAAACACATTTATCCCAGAATCTCTAAAAGGTGCCCACAAACTTACGTTAAGCATGGAGGCATCTCTACGAAACTCCATCAGGTCCTCACTCAGTTTACTCTGGTTCTCATCCAACACATCTGAAAACACACACAAGCACTTTAATGGAAAAAAGCCTCATTAGGGATGCACCGATACTCCCCAGAGTATGACTGCAAGAGCCGATTCAATATTTGTATTCAAAATGCGAAATGCGTAAAGCTCTGTCTAATGGATTAAGATAAAAGGCTGTTACCACCGGTCACTTCCTCACCATAAATAGAGATATGTACACAACCTGCCTTTTAGGCTTGTGAATGTTTTTTAATTTTCAGAGATAAAGCAACGCTATGAAACTCGACTACCTTAAAACAGCAGCTTCAAAATGAGTTTGATGGTTCAGTGACTGTGACTATGGAGAATGTTTCCTCTTTCATTCCCACTCTTCTCCCTGAACGTCTGTTCTCTGTAACTCTGGTGAGTGGGTTTGATCTCCTGTGAGAAGAACTGACTGAGAGTCACAGCTTCAACTGTCACCATCAGCTCCAGACAGTTGAGGAGTGAAGCTGAACCGTAGATCAGTTAAAAAACACTGAGAACTTATTAACAACCAGAGTTTATCTCCAATATTCAGCCGGGAGACTTAAAATATGAAGAATTCTGAACAGAGTTTGGTGGATTTGTGACAGCGGCAGCTCTTCTGCTTCAGGAAGCTGGGGATCATGGGTAATATCCACCATTAAGCCGTGTTACAGTTCAGTGAGTGGGACGACAGTCAGAGCTCCACTTAACACACTGATAGACCATTTCACTTGAACACGGAGCCCAACAGAATTAATCAACACCTGTGGATGCAGGGGGCGCTGTTGCTCGGTTCTTGATGTGGTCGAGGTCCCTTTAACTTGGGTGAAATTATCTGAGACTCACTGTGACTTAAATAAAAATTCTCCTTTGATATTTAACGAGAACCCACATTTGTAAGAACAAAATGAATAAATAAGCCACTGCAACTTGTTCGGCTGAAGAAGAAGATATAACATCGACTGAATCTTACCAAACTTGAGCTCCATGTTCTTCTCCAGCTGATCTAATTTCTCCGACAGTTTGCCCAACATGGAGCGCAGGAAAGCAATGTCTTGGTCCTTCTGGGACAGAGTCAGCTGCATCTCGTGGAACCTAACAGGGTCAAAGGTCGGGGATCGTATACAGATCAGAGATGTGCGGAACAAACACTCTCACAAACATTCTCCAGACAGAAATATAAAGTGTTTGTTACGATCAATGGCTTCAGGTGTCCTCACCTGTCGTCAGTCTGCTGCAGAAACTCTTTCAGCCCCTCAAATTTACACACCTCCAAATGTGTTTCATACGTGTCTTGGTTACCGATGAACGTACAGCTGTCACAGACCAGAAGAGTCAAATAAGGGGAAGGCAGATGAGGGGAAACAAAAGGCAATTTCTGACAAGTGTTTTACTTACCCATATTTAGAGTGTGGACATTTGATGTGCTCACATTCTTTGAGGTGAGCCTCAAGGTTCATGGTGAGCAGCGGGGGGCAGGAGGGGTTGTTGGGGCAACGGACTGGCCTGTAGTCACAGCTGACCTCATGTTCTCTGTAGAGACACAGAGAGTTCGAATGGAGGGAAAGTAGGTCAGTAAAAGCATTGCAAACTGTTTTTGTGTTTTACAGTTAAGCCATTGTGCATTCATAGGAAAGCAGCAGGAATCCATCATCCTTAGTCCTTACTTCCGTGTGGACAGTTTAATGGTGAAAGGGCAGCCCAGTGGGTCCACTTCGTACGCTCCAGGTTTCCCGGCCACCGTGGCATTGGAGGCCGTGGCCCCTCCTGCACCGCTTGCTGTGGCCCTGCAGCCGTATTTACAGTGGATGAAGAGCTCTCCTATCTGCTCGGCCACTGCGATGTTGTTTACCACAACTGTTAGTTTAGCAGCATCCACTGGGCACTTGTCTGTGAGGGAAACCAACACGAGGGTGAGATTACAACACACAACACCAATATCAATGTTATTCGTGCCACGTGTGGGTCTGTGTCTCTCACCTGAAGTCAAGGCACATCGTCTGCAGAAGGTGTGCTGAGGAAGGAGGGGAAAAAGGCGTAGTGACTTTTTAAAAATCATATTTTGTTGTTCTTATTAATAATAATAACTTCATTAAGTTAACTTACCCCACACGTAGTGATGACAGGGTCTTTAAAGACATTACAGCAGAGCTGACAGCACAGTTTTACTGACGGCTGTTCAGCGAACACCTGGGGCTCCTGCACACATACACAAATGTGTTAATATAATCAGTTTGTGGTGTGTGTGTGTACATGCATTCATTAATGTGATACTGGGCATATGTTTATGAGTACTGTCGTATACAAAAGGGCCCAAAAGCCTGAGACCAGGAATGAGAAGGTGGTCTCAGACTTATGACCCCCACTTTATGTGGTACTGTCTACAATATGTTTGCACCGGGCTTGATACCGTGTCCTCCTCCTCTTCGTGCAGAGAGAACGTGGAGCGCAGAGACATGTTGGACTCGGAATGGAGAGATCGGACTGAGATGGCTGAATCAGACCTCCGAGGAGTACCAATGAGAGGCTGAGGGGACGGGAGGAGGCAGTGGAAAGAAGAGGAGGTTAGAGCCTTTTCATACATTGACAGCACAACAATATATATACGTTAAACTTTTCACTCCCAGCTCTTCTAAAATTATAAGCTTGAGTTTGCAGAGGTATTAGAGGAACAACATAAAATCTTAAATGTATGTACCATTCCATCGTCATCATCCCGAGGGGAGTAGGTTAGAGTACTAGAGGAGGAGGGCGTTCTTCTGTGCTGCTTGTAGGTGGTGGACCCTTCTGCTGAAAACACATGAAGGCAGGTTCAGAATAACAGAATTATGTGTCTATCAAGCAAAAACAGAAAAAGTTTAAAGAGCTTTTAGAAGAGAGAGGACTCTGTGTCACCTTTAGTTCCAGCAGCCACGGCTGAGAAGGTCGGGCCGAACGACGCCTCCATCCTGCTCTGCTGTGACCAATAGAACAGAAAAATGATGGAGTTAAACTATCAATTATTTTTGACAAGATGATTAATTGCAGGAGAAATATGACACACAGCACAAGTATAGTATGGTTTTAATAAAAGTCTCTCTCCAGTCCACACCGCTGTCTCTCACCGAGCTGCTGGAGTCTGCGGGGGGGGGTAGAAGGGCTGCTGGGGACGGCTGCTTCTGCTTCTCCTCTGGAGTATTGATTGTAGCGAGACGTCTCACAACCCAGATGATGCACAGGTTCACAAGGAATCACAAGCAGCTAGTTGAACAGCTATGCCTGGTTAGAGCAGAGAGGAATGAAGGGCACGAGTGAGGACAAAAGTGACCGAAAACTATTCTGATTTTCCTCTGAGCAACTGAAGCCCGACAGAACACAGGTCAGACACATTATGCTCTCCATATGTCGGCTTTAAGGATTAACACACAGGAACACACACACCCACACATTAGGCCCGAGAATTATTGGCAAATGTCAGCAGCTACAATGCAGCTTAAAGCAACATACGATAAGAATCAATGCAGCAACAGTGTGGGGATTGTACAGTTGAGTTACTATCATTAAATGGAGGTTTGACCCACTTGATTAGCTTCAGGTACAACAACACAATCAAAGTATAGTGTTTTACTGTTTAGTTTTATTGCATTGTAATTGTATGTAGAAGTCATTAACGGAGCTTGACTCCAGGCACAAATTCAGTCAGGTCATGTCTGAAAACGGCTTCGGACATTTGCTTTCTCCAGAGAATATCAAGAGGATCTCTGGATTTCAGTGCTTGTCTGAGAGCAGCTATTCACAGCTGCAGGGAGGGAGTCGGAAAAAGTACCAGTAAAAATGTTCTCTACAAGCGAAAGTAAATACAACACTCCAAGCACAGTCGGGAAAATGTGAAAGTATTTAATTATGCAGAAACATTCCCCCTGGCAATTATACTATTCTATTACAAGATTATCATCAGTCATGTTTTAAAACTGCTCATTTTTAGCTGTTTTGTGAAGGACTGCACCTAATGACTATGATTATCATGGTATCGGGTTTGTTTTGTTTTTATTGTATCAAGGTCTAAAGTTTTGCTATCATGACAACCGTCATCACCACTGACGTTAATGATCCTCCACAGACATTTAAACACTGATGTAAACAGAAAGGTATGCGGACTGTGAGCTTGTATTGTAGCAGGCTGTGAAACTATCCAGGACCGCTAATCTGCCCTGTCCCTGTCTCTTCTTCTTCTTGTGTGGAGCAGCAGCTTGGCAGCAAACCAAACTAAACTAAAATCAATTTCTATTCTTTTTGCCTGTCTCTCTTAAGTAGTTTATTAGAAGATGGTGTATATTCCTTGATGTCTTTTCTTCACAAAACTTCTCATGTAATATTTTGCTTTTCGTTTTTTAATCCTGATGTCAATTCCCTTCTTTGTTCATTATATAAATATGTTGGACTTTCTATACACCAGGTTTTTTTGTGTTCAGAGTCTAGTTGAGTTCTTATCCTCCTATTTGATGAAGTGTATCATTCAACCCTGTTTGACCGATTCTCAGACGGGTAATGACTTTCTCTCCTCCTCAAAGTGCCTACATGTTTTTGAATTCTGTACAAATGTCTCCCCGTGTCATTTCAATCCCAGCTTTCTTGCCATCGTTTGTGACTGTATTCATTAATGATAGTTTTATATCTGCTTTGCTTAATGGTAACCTGTATGTCGATTGACGCTTGTTTTAATGACTGTTCCGCCAATAAATCTGCCTTCTCATTGCCTTCCAGTCCCACGTGCGCAGGAACTAATGGGAAGAAGATATTAAACCCTCTCTGATGTAATCTGAGGAGGACATGAAAACTTTCAATGACAACATCTTGTCTGCCTGAGGACTTGATTGCCTTAATGGGACAGTTCACCGAAAAATTGAAAATCCGCTCATCATCTACTCACCACTGTGTACGTGGGGGGGTGGGTGAAGTGTTTGAGTCGTTAGGAGTTTCAGGAGTGAACAGCTTTGCAGCCAAATCCAATACAATACATGTAAATGGTGACCACTTCTTCAAACATTAAAAAACTTAAAATACTGATCCTGTGGTGTCATCCGAGTGTCCATAAGCCCCGACGTTCAAATTCTACTGGTGACGGAATCATTTACAACAGTTTTGCATCTAAATGTCGTCTGTTATCCTCCTCAGGGCCGCGTTCACGTACACACACACACACAGGGAGTGGACATTTAGGTTGAAGTGAGTCAAATGAATGGTTTTGTTGTTTTGGTCACCATTCCCTTCAGCTGTATTGGATTTGGCTGCAACGCTGTTTGTCCCTGAGACTCCAGGAGTGTTTTGTGGACTCAAACACTTCACCCCA